TCCTTTGCAAAGTCAGGGAACTTTTCGTCGAATTCCTTCCATTCAGCCTAGTCGACCGGATGCCGCATAACTCCAAGTCTCGATTTATTTTTGTCATGCCATGTCATCAGTTTAGCTGTTATAAAGTCGCTTCAACTGATCCTTTAAAGGGAAGTATCGCATAACTTTGTGTGGTACCTTCTTCCCCTTTGTTTTTTGGTCAACCCAACGACTCTCATTGCACACTGGAAAAAAATCCAAATTGGCAGTGTCCCTCCAAAATATAGCAGTCATTCTTGCAACAGTGTATTGACTCATACCCCAACCCCAATTTTGAAGCTTCGACTTCGCTTCATAATGAGACTTCACAAGATTATTTCCGTTTGGAAGAGCGAAAAGAGCGTCTTTGATCAATTTGACCCAATCATCGAATGCTCTAATTGTCATCTTGTGCAACACTTTCAAATGCATCGTCTTAACATGAAAATTCAAAGAAGAGTACCTCGAGCAACCCGGATATAATTTCATCTCTAGGTCTGAGAACAAGTCTTCGCATTGCTCATCAGTTCCAGAAGCAACATCTTCACCGACCTCTGTACTTGGTCCAGCAATGTCAGATAGGACGTGAAATAATTCTTCAGTTTGATTAGGATCTTCATCACTACTTACGGTATCTGTCTCATCAGGCTCTTTATCACTGTCAAAGTCAATGTTTAGAGGATGTAGGTCGCAATTATTTTATGGAACTAGTTAACGGAGGCTTCCTCGAAGAAGTTGATCAACCTGATCATATATTATAATATTTATTATCCCACAATTCATCATGTGTAGTTTGATTTTCATTTGCATTCTCCACGACAAATTCCAGAAAAGATGAAGGATGATCCAGACATGATTCGGTCAATTCTTTTGCCTTGTCAATCATTGTCGAGATATGAACAAGGGACGATTAATCCAGAAAAGATTTTGCATATTGCTGCACCTCAATTGAGGCAGGGATCTCTTCATTGGAGACCAGGATTAGTTAGTGATGCAATCATTTCAACATTTCGACGTTTACGCGCATTGGATCTGCATGATTTGGGGATTAAGGTAGTGCCTTATGACACTGAAAAATTGAAGCATTTAAGATAGGACTCTGATTCTGCATACAAGAAGAGCGGCGGGCTAAACGAATTAGAAAATCTAAACAACCTGAGGGGAGGGCTTCCAATTAAGAATTTGACGCCAGGGAAAGATGCTAAGGCTGCAGTTTTGGGAGCAAAACAAGATCTTCAATTCTTATCACTAGATTGGGATATTGATCAATCAGAAAACCATAATACGTCCGATCATGAAAGTCAATTGGAAGATCTGGAGCCACACTTGGATCTAAAAGAATTGACATTACATGGTTATGGGGGTTGGAAGTTATCATCTTGGCTTAACCCACAAAGGAATCTGGTCAAACTTACGCTGCAAAAATGTTCGAGGTGCGAATACCTACCGGCATTGGATCAGTTTCCTTCTCTTAAAGTTTTGGTACTCCATGAGATGAGAAATCTGGAGTACGTCAATTCAGAGGAAAACCCTGCATGCGAACCATTTTTTTCGGAACTTCAACTCGAAGAATTGCCTCGGCTGAAAGGATGGTGGAGAGGTGGAGCCTTCAGTTATGATGATGACGATTTTCCTTCATTCCCTCGCCTTTCTAAGTTATCCATCCAGGACTGTCCCGAACTGCGTTTCATGCCGCTTTTTCCAACTCTAAAAGATGAGCTCGTGCTGGACACAACTAGTTGGGTCCTTTTTCAAGAGACGATGAAGAGAAGAAGAGGCGCTCTTCCATTGATGAACTTGAGTCTTGTTAACATTAAAGATTTTAACAAAGGCGAGGTTGTTAAGTTCTACACGCGGGACGCCTTACGTGTTCTGAAATTGGATTTCATTCCAGAGCTCGAAGAACTGCTCAAGGACCAATCTACAGGATTGTCACCGCAGCATTAGTTCCATTCCGAAGTGGATCGGAGATCTCAAGTCGCTTGAAAAGCTTGCCATTTGGGTATGTCCTAACATGAAGTCGCTTCCCGAAGAAATAAGCAATCTTACCAATTTGAAAACACTAGAGATTGAAGATTGTTCCACGCTGCTGCAACGATGCCAACGTGAAACGGGTGCAGATTGGGATAAGATTGCTCACATTCCTAATAAACACTTTGGGAAGTGATTTTGATCATTTCCAGTACTCTCATTCAGGTACATACAAAGCAATTAGGTAACAATACATTTATCATTATCATGTTCTCACTAGTTTTTTCTTAATTTGTGTTCTTATATATTGTCTGTTTTTCAATCTTATCAGCTTGGAATTGGCATCATCTTCAACATTTTTTTTTTAAACTCAAATATCGCTGCACCAGGTACCAATTCGACTCTGTGCTAGATGCAGAACACATTGGAGTAATCGTAGTACTTTTACGCATGTGATTTCGTCTGTTTTTTTCCCTGTTTTCTATTAACTTGTTTACTTGATTTCCTCTGTTCTCTTTTCAATTCTTTTTCTATTAACTTGTGATTTCATCTTAATCAAGGTTGAATCTGGTGGCATTCTGCTTCAGATATTTATGCTCCAATCTTAGTGCTCGTGACTCTGCCTGGTTGCGTTATGGATTTCTCCAAGTGGTTCTCCAAAATATGCACTCTTTTTTCCTTACTAGAACTTTGTCTAGGAAGATATTTTAACGAGGCATATTTCTCATGGAATCATCCAAGTTGAGGGTTATGTGCTCAAACCTATGGATGTCCACTCTAATCACACTTATATTACAAATGTACAGTTAGATTCCCTGTTGTTCAGTTGTTTTCAGTTATTATTTTGTACACGTGGTTGTGTATAGTCTGTTTTCTTTCACACTCTTTGGCTTGTTAACATTTTTATTGTGAATACTGTAAATTTATTTTTCATTTCATTTAATAAAGGTTGGGATATGTTTGGCTTGTTTTGATGCTTGGCATTACCCAATTGGAAAAATAATTAAAGCTGATGGAGATCATGGAATAATTTGTTGTTTAACAAATGCCCAAAAAAGTAGGGAAATTGTGTTAATATGTTGTAGCTTGTTTACGGGTATATTGCTTATTTAATTCTTGAAGGATCTATAAGCTCTCAGATTGTAATGCATGAAGTCTCTCGGATGCATTGTTATATGATATATAACAGAAACAACATTTTTGCTAGAAAAAAAAAAAAAAAGAAATAACTTGATAATAAAAGATTAGTGATGTAAAAAGTTAGTTCATTTTAATTTGTTTTCCGCAAGAAATTTAAGGTATAGTTATCATCGTTTCATGACGTGAAATTATGGACTTCCGGTTGGGTATTTGGATTCACATCTTGTGCATGAAGCCAATAATTTAATATTTCAAATCGATAATAATATGACCAAACAAGACTTGAGATGTTGGATAATGAGGTCAAATTAATATTCTACAAGTCAAAGTCTCCTTTCAGCAAATATATAAATCTTGACACAACCAATTGACGACATTGTTCCTGACGAAACGACCATCCTAGATTGGAGTCGTGCCTACCTACGGTACTTCTTGTGCTTCAAGAAAAACAAAAAACAAAATACACAACAAAACAAACAAACCAACCTTATCTGTATCAGAAGATATTATCGAGTGAAGAAAAAAAAGGCTTAAAAAGTACGAGAAGATATTACTGAGGAATTGAGAGAGAGGGGGAGAAGAAAAAAGGCTGTCACTACCGGTAGGAATTGGTGTTTGAATCGTTGGGATTATTGTTTTCGACAATTTATTTTAACTTTACAACGCAGCGATATAGAATAGCTCCAACTGATGCATCAATATCAATGAAATTTTAATCCAACAGTTAAGCAACAATATCTGCCGGTACGAGAAATGAAAGGTTCCTATGATAAAAATTTCCCAATTGAAGATAGATAAGGCCCGATTGATATGTGTAGTGGACAGCTGGGTTGTAACAAAGGAGTCCAAATGTTGGCTTAAGAATTTTACAGAGCTGGAGTTTAAATGAGGAGCCCAAACATGGGCACCTGTACTTCTCAATCAAAGTCCCAAGTACCGAAAAGTAGATTTATAAATAATATAGATATAGTTGTTTGCCTGGTCTGAACTCTGAAAATTCAGATAATAACTTGATAGCAACTAGAAGCAAATATTAATCCTCCCAACAAACAAAGCCATGACAAAGACACAACAGAGCAGTCATCACAAAAGTGCTCAAGGCGTTACAGGGGAGAAAAGTAGACATACACAGACTCAAGAAAAGATGACTCATCACACAAGTAAGCAAGGAAACACAAAAATGGTAACCGACCTGGGGAAAAGTACAGAGACTCAACAAAAGACCACCCATCACACAAGTACGACTCAAGGCAAAGCAAAAGCTGTTGTGGTGGAAGACACACACACTATTACTCAGCAGAAGACCACTCAACACGCGGCTCAACAGAAGATCACCCATCACCCAACTCAAGCCACACCAAACAAGGCACCTAGTACTCAACAAAAGATCTCAGGGACAAAGCCACACAAGTAAAGCCAAAAGGCTGGGAGGTCTCACTTTTGAGACACATGTGTTGTGCGTGTGTATACATATAAATATATATATATATATATATATATAAAGTGTGTGTGTGTGTATGTGTGTGTCCTGTGTATGGTGTGTGGTGTGTGAGAAAGGTTTTTCTTCCTCATACTTCTCATGCTTTTTATTTCTTACTCTTGAGTTGTAGCCTCCGTTCATATGTATTATGTATTGAGACTCCTTCCTTAGTGTAAGCCTTCGTTTCTCTTTGTTCACTGTAGGTGATAACTTGTAAAGGTGATAACTTTTTTTGGAATTTCCTATTATATCTTCTATTGGTGAAAAAACAAAAGGGTAAAAAAAAAAAAAAAAAAAAAAAAAAAAAAAAAAAAAAAAAAATCTAAGAAAAGCAATAAAAGTGGTCATCGCAAGAAGAATGTCAAGAGGCTAACAAGGGGAGAAAACCATAATCAATAATCTCACTTTAAGATAGTTTCCAACAAGTTGGAGGGTAATTTACAGCACAAGAGATCAGACTCTGTACATAATTGGTTAGCGGTTCCAAAGCTAATTAACAGAAAAACAAATATCTCCAAAAACCGAAAAAACACCTAAAGATAAAAATAACTACTGTGGATCAGAACCTTAGATTTCATTAGAAACAATATTTCGAAACGTAAGGATGTAATTACCTGCGAAACATGACAAATCGACGGAAAAATTTGTTAATCGGCCAATTTACGCAGCAAGGTTCCGCTTTGTAGCTTCCATTTTCACTAAAAGATCTTTTACTTCTGCTTCCATTCTCATCTTCATATTGAAGTACTCAAGATGTGTCCGTTCTATAGCCTGCAGTTCTTCGATTCTCTGTTTACGCAATTGCTCGGAATCAGCCAATCGCAACTTCGCGATTCTACTGGCATACTCTTCCTCAATCTTTTCGTTCTTTGCCATGGCTATGCGCTGCAGCCCCTCTGCCTCTCTTCTTGCGTCATCCGCCCGTGCCTGGAACATTTTAGCCTCTGCTAGTTTGATTTTCACAATATTCTCCAATTCATCGAAAAGAGGTTCCTTCAGAGCACTACTTGTCTGCAACTCCAAGTCCACGATGCGTTTATCATTCCTGTCATAGCTATAGCTGGGAAGTAAACTGGCAGGTATTTCCAACTGAGGGACCTTTCCCTGATAAGCAGACTTTAGCCACGCAGGCTCTTGGCTTGGCCCGGCAATCCCATTGCTTCCTTCACTTTGTTCCTTTACAGATGTAAGAGGCATACCGCTCAACTTGAAAGAATCACTATCTGCAATCAAAGTGGCATGTAAATAACAATCTCATAATTTAGCTTCCATGTCAAATAGAAAACACATTTGGATCTAAAATCCTTAGGAGGCCTAAAAAGCAAAATGTGAAACAAAACAAAATAAGAAAAGAAGATGCAACTTTTGCTTCTATATACACAGAAATATGGAAATAAATTACAATAAAATAATTTCCAAATAAAAAGCCTACAACAACTGGCTCCGTATATAGGCTAAATGTACAAAAACACGTAAACAAGGGAACACAATCTCATGCACACATGGTAAGTCGCAAACAAATTGCAATTTCTTATGCTTAACTCTAAAACGCAACTTTCAGTGAAGCAATTATATTTGCTGCCTGAAATCAGATAGATACATGAAACAACTTTTTTCATGCTTATTTGCCAAGGTAAGAAAACTTGGCAAAGGGGAAGAGTTTCCAAATTATCGATGACTCAGTATAGAGAAAATTTAAACTTGTTTTCCAAGAGAAAAAAAAAACGCTTTTATCTGCTTTCCTCACGTCTTACATGTAAATGCAAATGAAATTACCACTAAGCAACAAGAAAATAGATTTCTTCTGGAAGAACGTAAAATTCATTACCATTCAGGAAGGCCATGATATGACTGTAAACGTCAGGCAGGTCAGACTTATTCGTCAATCTTGCCAACAATTGACCAGCAAACTCATGAAGTCGTCTCCCTCTCAAGTCCTTGCTCGTGGCGAAAATTCTTTTGACATATTGAAGTTCCTTGGAAAGTGTTTCAGCTGACCACTCCTTTGCAAAATTTTGAAAAACCTCCTTCACGAAGCCAAACATCTCGGAAGGGTGATCACAAGCGACACAATGAAATTGCATCTCAGATGCTCCTTGTGCAGTGGCGCTTCGTCCATTTCTGATATAAGATTCCCGCAGCCCGCAATCCGCATGGCACCAATGCAGACATACATCGCAACCAACCCAACTACATGTGTTCGATGCCATGTCAAATTTCGAGCAGACAAGACACATACAAGAGCTGCAAAAGCCATTCTTCTGAGAGCAAACTTTGCAATCACATTCATCCACAGGCACAGGACTCCGGCAAGCAAGATTTCTGCACCTTAAGTTGAGAAAAATCTCGGCCAAATCAGATGAAGAAACACTTGTATCTTGCTGAAGAAAATCCGGTAAACCAGTCTTGAGAGCAACCAATATTTCTAACTGTACCCTATGGGATTTCAGAAGCATTTCCAAAGTTAATTCAGGCCTGTTCACCAGCGCTTTCTGTAATGCACTTATTTGCCGACGCTTATCTGCATTCAGCACGATCTCGCGAACACTATCCTTTATATATGCCAAGGATTGCCCATTCATCTCATGAAATTTCCTAGCCATTAATGGAATCGGTTCTGAGACTATCCTGCTAATGACTGCCTCAACAAATTCAACCCCACCAAAAGGAAACTGTTCTTGGTCCATTTTAGAGCTACCAGTCCTATATAAACTACCACTACTTTTCTCTCTCATCAGTCTCTTCCTCTCAAAACTATAAGTTGACCCGATATCATGAGACCCAACACTATGGGAAGGTGACCTTACATCATCATGGTGGTGCCTTGAGTGTCCTGCTGATAACTGCTTATGGAAGCTGAGCTGCCTTTCCAAACCATTGGTTATCTTAGAGCTACTGCCCTCAGGCATCCAGGGATGCTGACCTTGCCCAGATTGACCATTCGAAGCCGGTTGAGATTGCTGATAAGATTGAGACCCATTTCCATTCAGCAAGATCCTTTGATACAAGGGAACTTCTTTATTATTCTTTGGCTCATTCTGAGCTAGCGCCTGCCAGTCAATCCCCCCGAAAAGGGGACGACTTTTAACTGATTGTTCGAAGTCCATCGAATTCTGGGTCAGAGAGCAGCTGGGGTTGTGATAAAATGACTGAGAGCCCGAGAAGGACACCGATGCAGTAAACCCATCCGAATTGGTGCGAAACGTATTACTCAAGGACTGAACACTCCTTGCTTGACCGGGAGAACCGGGAGCTGCACCAATGGGTAACAAGACATTGGGTAAGCTAAGAGAAAGATCGAGCGGTTCGAGCACGAGCTTTTCGTTCTTCTGCATACTATTGGCGCCAGACTGATCGGCTTTCTCCTGCCTTTTAACAGGAGAGTTACCAAACAACTCAAACCCTCTAGTGCTGGGTCCTTCCATTTCCATATCACTCTCCCTGCAATTCATGAGATCTCTAGGCTCTCTCTCAATCCAGCCACCATTATCTGCGGCGGAATCCGCAACATGGGTCAGAGTAACCACTACACTTTTCCCTTTGTCCTTCAAACTCAGAGTCAAACTCTCTGTTGCCTTTGTCATATCTTGTTTAGCCACTCCATTCTCCGTCCGTTCTTCACCCATCCTCCTCTCTTCGAAACCCTCCACCTTGACTTCGAGATCAATACCCTTGTCCTCCTTGCGTTCCCCATCAGATTGCATCGACTTCTCATCAACCGGGTGGCCTTGTGCCGTCTCATCCTTGCGCTCCCCACCACCCCTCAAGCATTCTTGATTTCTCTCACCACCTTCATTACAGATCTCAATTCCGTTAATGGACCCGCCGTCGAGTTTTTCACTAGCCGAATTGCCCTCATGATTTGAAAATCCATTAACTTCTTCATCCACATCCTTAACTTCACAAACAACCTTCTCATTCCTTTCCTCCATATCTTCTTTATTCAATAACTCATATTTATCCTTTACACTAGTGTTCATATCCTCACTCTCAATTTCCTTATGATCAATCTCCATCCCACCATGAACCTGAACTTCTTCCTTATCACCTTCAACTTCAGGAACCGATTCAGGTTTGCCTCCGGCATCGGATTTCGGTTCCGGTTCTGGCTCAAGCTCTCCTTCCTCCATTTCACTACTGCTACCACTCTGCACCTGGACGCCCTCCTCCTCAGTTGTCTTCTTCCCCTCAACACACTTCGACTGTTCGCTCCCCACCGAGTCCTTCGACCAAGTCGGAGACTTCGATTTCGACTTCGAAACCGACACCGATTTCCCGTCCCTCAATCCCCTCGCCGGAGGAGACCTAACCCTAGACTGCTCACTCCCGGAATCCCTCGAATTCGACCACGTTGGCGACCTCACATCCCTAATCCCCTTCCCTCTCTCCTCCAACCTACTCCTACTCCCTACTCCATCATCAAACTCCTTGTTCCCGCCGCCGAATCTCCGCCACGACGAAACCGCACTCCCTTCCCTCCTCGACCGGTCCCGCTCCGACCTAAACCCCTTCGGAAACTCCCTCCTCGGACCGCAAAAGCTCTCCGACCGATGCATCAAGCTCCGATCGTACCCTCTACTATCTCCCCCACCACCGCCGCCGCCATCCCTGTACCGATCGAAGCCTTTCCTCCGATCGAAACCCTCGAAATCATGCTCTGATCGCTTCCGCACCATCCTCGCTCCCTCCCTGTCATCCTCCGCCGCCGATCGATCCCAATCGTACCTTCCACCACCACCACCGCTTGCCGCAGTCGCCGACGACGACGAAGACATCAAACCCTTCCGTACAGTATCGGACTTGTAGTAAAAGCTTCTATGCGAAGAGGAAGAAGACAACGACGAGCGGTTCGGATTCGAAGTCGGGTTCTGGTTCGGATTCGGATCCTTCCCGTACGAATCCAGATCGTCGGTCGATCTCAGCCTCTTCATCTCTCAACCAAAAATTCAACCAAAAAAAGAAAAAGAAAAAGAAAAAACTGGTGTTTTTGTATTCCTAGAGAGAGAAAAGAGAGGTACCAGAGAGGGGAAATGACGGCAGGGGTAGGTGGGAGGCGGGGAAATGGAGCCGGCGAGGAGGGTGCGGGGGGTAAATATAGAGAGCCGCGGAGGGCATAATTGGAAATGTCGGTGAAGAAAGAAGAAGAAGAGGAAAGTAAGGAGGTGGTTTTGGTTTATGGGTAATCGGTGCCTGAGTCAACGCAGTTAAACCACTGAGAGGAGAGAGAGAGAGAAAGAGAGGAGAAGAGAGAGAAAGAGAGTTGGATACGCAAAGTGCGTGCAAGGCAGAGAAGAAGGAGGACTTTTGTTCGAAGACGTATAAAGTGTTACTACTGTGGGACCCGGTTTCGGACAGGGGTGCGTACTGCGCCTCCGTGTACATGTTAGTTGGCCGTCTTGCTCGTTGGTGGGATCATTTTTTGATTTTGTTTTTCATTTTTTGGATTTTGTTTTTTGAAAGATCATTTTTTGGATTTTGCAGTACTAATAAGAGATATCATTTATTTAAATGGTTAAATTTATATTAATTTTTTTTTCAATTTAGTTTCTTTAAACCCTACTTTTTTTCATTAAACCCGACTTAATAATAATAAAAAAATAGATCTTAAAGAGTACTTACATGTCATAACTCGTAGTATTTTAATTTAATTTTGGTTAATATATTAATACATGAATTAGATAAGTTTAAGCGTTAGGCTCAAAATTATTTTTTTTATTTTATACATATATTTTGACCTCGTTCACTTCGCAGATTCGAATTTTCAATTCGAACTGAGATGTATTATTTTATGAGAGCTTTTCACTGTAGCAGAAAAAGTTAGATGTGACATTTTGAATTTTCAATTCGAACTGAGATGTGTTATTTTATGAGAGCTTTTTACTGTAGCAGAAAAAGTTAGATGTCACATTTTTTGAGAGCTTTTTACTGTAGGAATTTAAAACTGAAAATTCGAATCGGTGAAATGATCGAGGCCTTTGTTAAAATTTGTAAATTGCTCCTAAGAAATCTAAAATTAGATATATTTGTCTTTTTTAAAAATCATTCAAGAGTGAAACTATTTCATCGAGAATATGCAGTTGTCCCACTTAAATTTTTTTTTTAATTTTATATGTGTATTTTGTTAAAAATTATAATTGACCCCTTAAAAATTTTAAATCATATATGTTCATCTTCTCTGAAAATTAAAATTATATATTTCTTCTTTGTCACTTAATTGTGTGGACTCACCCTTTTTTAAGATCCATATTTGGAAACAAAAACAAAAAAATCCCACCTAATGAAGAAGGCCAATATGCAAATATTGCAAGCCGTAAGGATTCACTATTTCATTTTAATGGCACGGATTTCATTCCCATATAGGGGCAAACAAAAAAAAAGTGTTTATGTGATATTTAATTTTTTCTTGAAAATTTTATGTGATGTTTATGGATTAAGAAAGTCAAAAGATTCTATTACAGTCGGAAAATTTATGATATGGCCATAAGAAAAAGTGCCTCATTTTTAGGAAAGCGAATGTCTAGTGTCTACTAATAAACACAAAATTATATAGATATTTAAAAGTCAAAAGAATTCTATTATAATTAGGAAACTCTCAGATATGGCAATGAAAAAATTGGAAACAGAATTGGTAAAATAAGAAGCAAGAGACAAAGAAAATATCCGCTAAAAACAAGAAATTACAAGTGGTATATCTATAATTATAATACCCTAACAAACAAAATAGTGAAATACCCCAAAGCAAATCCCTATTTTAAAGGATTATAATTTCTTTTCTAACTATTTTGTCTAATATAACTTTGGGGCACACATTCATCAACCTTTCTAGTTATACGGAATATACAATTTCTATTTTCTATTTTGATTTGTTTTTCGTAGGTGAATATATTTCTATTTTGATTTTTCTTGGTGAATAGAATTTCTATTTTCATTTGACCACTCAGTCATTGGGTAGAATTTTTACTTTCTGATTTGATTTGACCCTTCAGTCCTATATTTACACGCGGCGTTATACTATTGGTTCCACTAGTGTATTTCGTGGACCCTGCAAATTTTTGTCGTGTGTAAGACTTTGAAAAAGGCGAGATGCCCGTTTAAACTCATCTAAAATGATTTTATTTTTTTATGAAATTTTTACTTTCTGATTTGATTTGACCCTTCCGTCTTATATTTACACGTGGCGTTATACTATTGGTTCCACTAGTGTATTTCGTAGAGCCTGCAACTTTTTGTCGTGTGTAAAGACTTTAAAAAAGACGAGAGACCGGTTTACAACTCATTCTAAAATTATTTTATTTTTTATATAAAAATAAAAATAAAAATATTTTTAATTTTAAATAAAAATTATTTTTAAAAATGTGTTTAATAATTATATTAAGAGATTATTTTTTATATAAAAAAACACATTAATGTCTCTCTTTTTTTGCTCAAGAGAGAGAAAAAAATAAAAATAAAAAATAAAAAACGACTAAAAATTATTTTTTATTTCTCCATCGTTTTACACTAAATTAAAAATTCATTTTCATTCTCATTTTTTATAATTATTACGTCAAAAACACTTTTAAAAATATTTTTATTTTTTTTTTAAATATAAAAGTTAAAAATATGATCAATTTTAAACACGATCGAGATTTGGCCATTGGCAAATCAAGCGGCAGCTAGAGTGCTACCAGTTGCTCAAATTGCATTTTGGTAAAAGACCCAAAATACCACTGTATACCATTAACTCTTCTTATTATTCAGATTCCAAATATATCAATGTGGATAAGACGTGTCTAAGGTGTACACATACAAGTACCTGATCTGTTAGTCTCAATGTCGACGTGGATAAGACACATGGAATCCTCATAGAAGATTACATGGCATGGTCTCTAACAAAGATGTGGGGATCGACTGAGTCCAATAAACCGAAGACAACATATTCTAAAGCCCTCTTTGTTATTAAATTACCAAAACACTCATATGCAAGTATGGTAGGACGTAGACGACGTCAACGGAACTGCACTGGCGTAGTATAGTAGGAGAAGTAATCGAACTGTTAATGGAGAAGTGATTTAAAGATGTACATACGGTTATTTAAAAAAGTTGGTAAGTTCTTACTCCGGAGGAATACAGGTCACTCTAAGAGCAAGTTTTGCGTATTTTTTAAGAAGCTGATGAGTACTTATTCAAGAGGAACACAAGTTGCTCCAAAACTGAGTTTTATGTGTTTCCAGCATAGTAGGAAGTAGTTACGCTGGAGGGACGCAAGTTACTCTAAGAGCAAAGTGGCAACATGTGATGTTTCACGGCCTTTTGACACTTCCAGAAATGTGCTCTAGAGGGGTGTAAGTCGCATCGGAGACGGATTTCAGACTTTTTAAAAAAGCCGAAGAACTTAGCATGTTCCTCATGGATGAGTAAGGATGGATGAATAAAGTGTTTAAAGACTTTTTTTTTTTTTTTTTGAAGATGAACACTTAAAGTCTAGACAAAGTTTTGAAATTCCTTCGAAGATCTTCGAACCTGAAGAGCACAAAGCTCAAAGAACACTAAAGTCTTTAGAACAAAAGACTTTAACTCTTATAAGTCTTTAGCATAAAAGACTTTAACTCTCGGAAGAAAATCACTCAGATCTGTGTGTTAATGGTGTAAGGATGATGTGTATTGTGTACTTATCAATAAAATTTTGACACCTCATGGCTTGGTCTTGGTATCGGTAGCATTGTTTGAAAAGAAATACTAGTATCATTCTTTGCCTCTCTTTGTCAATTTCTACATTTATTATTTAATACGTGGACTTTACTATCTCATTTTTATTTAAATAATAACATATTACGTTAGTAGTGTTCACGTGTCAAATAATAAAGACAAATTGAGTGACAAAAAGAATGATTTTAGTATTTTTCTAGTTCAAATATTAAATGGACGAAAATCAGTAGTAGGTACACAAAGACCTCGTTCGCTTTGCGGATTTACGTTTTCAATTCGAACTGAGATGTGACATTTTTTAAGAATTTTTAACTGTAATAAAAAAGTTAAATGTGACATTTTATGATAGCTTTTAAATCTTAAATCGGTAAAATGAACGAGGCCAAAAGAACTCGCGACCTCATCCATGTATGTTGAGCTTGTCACGCGTGGCCGTATCAAAGGACGAGTTCAAGGAATATACCGACTACACATTGTTCACAAATTGATTAAAAAAAACAAAAAGAAAAAAGAAGACGGTTTGACTCTTCCTTAGACTTCCTACGTCATAATTCTCTTTTAAGTCTTTGACTATATCTCGCCATCGTTCTCTCCTCTTGTACTAATGATGGAACTAAAATGGACGGCGTAGATTCTTTGTAGGGGTTACAAATCTAGTTGTGATCTAGTTTGAATTTTCATCTGGCCCACCATTAGGAAGGTAGTCCATACGTGCAAGGTATAAATAGGAAAGATGGGCGGTCAAGATGGGCCCAAAATTTAAGGAGACGTTTGGTTCATAAATTAAAATTATTTTTGATGTATGTGTTATTTTTATGAGAAAAAATATTGTAACGAACTATGAACTATGATTCAAATTAAGGTACGAATCCCCTAACCAAATAACCCCTAAATCTCGAGTTATGAAAACTCGAATACAGTAAAAACATGATAAACGTTCGATAAATTAATAATCTTAATTAAATAATAAAAATTTTCCGTCCTGATTTAGATTAACATATTATATTAATAAATTTAATAAATGCATAAGATAAAATTTTTTGAGAAAAGTATATAAATTAATTTACATGTTTACATATAAAATTTCAAAAGTTATCATGCATATGATTCATATTATATACAAATATTATGTACATGTATATAGAAACCTATAAATTAGTGTGATACTGTGATTATATTGTAAATAGATTGTTAATAAGTACAGGCATATAATTGATTTACGTATTTTTCAAATTTAATGCCTAATAGAAAAAAGAGCTCCTTAATATGATGAATTTTATATCTTATTTACTATTATTTTTTGTAATTAATTTTTCTTAAATTTATATTTCATTCGGCCCTAAAGGATTCGGAAAAAAATTATAGTACTTATGCCGTTGTACTTTAAAATAAACAATTGCTATTAAAAAGTCAGAATGATACCCAAGACACAAGTTATTAAAATATAATATATTCTTAAATTTAAAAAATATTAATTCATTGATAAATTAATAATATTTTTTCTAAGTTTTTTTTTAATAGAGGTTTTACTGTATTTTGAAATCTTGGCTCAAGTGAAAATAAAAAAAAATAATTGATAAATCTCATTCAATTATTTTTCTTATATATATCCGAGATGACAAAACAAATTAATTGCTTGTTCCCAAAGGTTTTTAGGTAGTTTTTGAAATTTTCTTCTTCTTTCTAACAGGATTTAGTTGTCTATAACAGTTTTTTTAAGGGAATTTTTCTTACCTTTTTTATTTTTTTTATTTTTTAATTGCAATGGCATATATCTTAAATCAAAGCATCAGTACTTACACGAGGGAATAATGGGTTACATCTGTCCTCTCTTAAGAGGGGGGAAAAAAGAAAAAGAAAATCTTCTCATTTCAACTCTTTGGATCCTGAATCTCATCAAATAAACACACAAAAAAGAAGAAGAAAAAAAAGAAAAAAAAAAAGGTTCCAAACATTGATTTCTAATTGGCGCGTGACAAAAGATGTCGTGCAAACATGCATCATAAAATATTAACACGAACACGTCGGACTCATAATACAAGTTGATACTCGCATAACACATTTAAATTAGTATGTAATATACATGATTGATACGACTATGACGGATGACCCAACTTAAATTCTTTAATTGCCATCCTTACTTAAAATCCCTTGCTCATTAGAGGGGAAAAAAAAAAAATAAGAATAATAATAATAAAAGAAGATTTTTTTTGGTACGTCAATATACTGATTGGTTAAGTTTTTTATCCGTCAGATCTGTATAAAATCATTTAAAAGTTAAAAAATACAAAGATCTAATGATTATAAAAACTTGACATACCATTACGCCAAACGCATCCTTACCTGCATCAGTTAGGTAACGTTTATTTTAAGAATTTACCTGATTTCAAATCATAATTCGTGATTGTATTTTTCTTGTATAAAAAATTTAAATTTAAAAAATTAAAATTATAAATTGTGATTCTGAACCTATAAATTAAACGGACAAAAAATGGCCATCAAATGCAGAGTCAGCTTCCCACTAACTTGTCCTCACATGGACAAAGCCAAAGCCTGATCCATTCTTTGAAAGGTCACAATATGCTTTTCCTTGGTTAAAATATCTTCTCATTCTCCAAATTTCCATGATAAGATCAAAACACCACAGCCATAGTCATTGACCCTTCCTGAATTTATCTTTTCTTTAAAAAAATAAAAATAAAAAATTCCTCTCTTTTCCAAATTCTGATAATCATATTTCTTCATGATCTTCTAACTATGGCTGCTCTTTCAGCTAGGAGTTGTTTCTACGGCAAAACCAATCTCAACATTCGGAAATTCCCAGAAAGAAGTAGTCCAAGAACTCTAGTTATCGTGTCTTGCCAGAGCCAGGAACCAATTGATGAAGTTACAGACAAGCTTAGAACAAAGGAAGAGATTAAACCAAAGGAGCAGAAGGAAGGAAATAAACAATCTTTGCCTTATTTCCTTGGCTTTGAGGAGCTGGGAAAGTCCTTGAGAGAGAATTTGAGCCCAAAGCAAAAGGGTGACTGGAAAGATGTGACTTTAATGAGCATATCTTTTGCTGTTTATGTATATATGTCACAACAGATTGTTTGTGCTTACTTTGCTTGGATGTCCATTCCTAGACAACAATGGTAGAGTGTAGAATTACACCTTTTCTGATGAAAAAGTGGGGTTTACGTCTTTTTGGTTTATTTTCAATAAAAATGTTGTTTGGGGTGTTGGGATCTGTGATTATGAAAGATTGTCAAATGGGGTCCTGGTTTATGTTACTTTGGCTTATATTCTGTTTGTAGATTGTATGTATAGTTGTTTATATAAGCAAAAAAGCCTAATAAAAATTATGTTTTGGTGATGTACCAAATATTTGTAATCTTGCAATCCTGTTAAATATAGGATTAGCAATTCCAAACATTTTGGTATTGTAACATGCTAAATATAGGATTAGCATGCCTCTGCATTAGAGTTAGTGTAACTAATGTACTTTATGTATGTGTACATATGCACCTTTGCATGTGGCTTAAACCTTCAGATGCGCGTACTTACCAAGTCTACTTAAGACATTAAATAAAACAACAAAGAATAAACAAATTTGAAGATGTGTTTACCAAAGTCTTCTCCAACTGAAGAGGAAATTAATTTGCGCCAATCGACTTAAAACCCAAGGTTAAAAATAATCCCGAAGAATAGACCCATCTACTAAGTCAGCTAGGTGACAAACAGTCAAACAACATTGTAGACTGGTTATTAATTAAACAAACTAACGAAGAATGTAGCTGGATATTAATTTGAAAAAAAAAAAAAAAAAATCTAACCACCATAGACTTTGTTTTTGCATACCTTCCAAAAGTCCGTGATCAAATTTCCTGATACAATTCAAACCGCAAAAAAGAAGTAGAAAAGTAACACACAATCATACAAGCTGGTCCGTTTATTTTTCAGCCTAACATTTGCCGCACAGACACTCAAGACCAGGGATTAGTTCATGCTATTCAAGAAGGCTAGCTTGACACAAGTTGAAGAGCTTTACTAGTCAGATTTTTGCCTTTGGCGTCTAAAAAGACGATAGAATATCGATAGCAACCATTGCCAGAAAACAATCAAGAAGTTCGTTCGCTTTTGTTTCGCTACTGGAGGTGGTCCAAAGATTCCCTTATAGATCTCCCTTTGCTTCTGATAAAGAGCCTTGTCTTGTTCAGCCAGCAAACGCAACTCCCTTGCAATGACTTTGTCCTCTGGCGCAAATTTCCGAGCCTTGAGGAAGTCTTCCTGGGCAGCATCTGTCTGTCCAAGCTCCGCCCTTGCCTTTCCTCGCCTGAAAAGCGCTTTCATATTGTTTTCATCCTCTGATAATACCTGCAATATATCGAATTTTCATTTTCCACCATCCGAAAGGATCAATTGATAAACAATGGAAGAGTCATGCAACAAGTAAAAATCAGGTATCATAAAGTAAAATGAAAAACCCAAAATGAAGGTGGATACAGTCACAAAACATTTATTTACAATTTGCCAGTGGCATCATATACTTACTACGGTGCATTGTCCAATAGCTTCTTCATAGCGCTGAAGCTTTATTAAACACGCCGCCATGTTAAGATGGCACGGATTCTTAACAGCCAAGGCCATGTCGCGATACTTCCCAAACAATTGGAACATGAAGTCGTCGCCCATATATGTTATGGCCTGATATCAAGAAAACAAAGTGAGTAAATGGTAAGAAATAGAATTTGAACAAAATCAAGTGCCAATAAAAAATGATGAGAAATAGAAACAATTAAGGAAAAAAATTGAGTGACCATTGAATACTGTTGCATAGCCTCCTCCAGTTTTTCCTCCTTAAAAAGAGCATTTCCGTCCATCTTTCTTCTATCTGCCGCTCCGATCCTTTCCTCAACAGTCATGTCACCACGAGTTTTCCCCTAGTAATTAAAATAATCCACGTGTCAATAACATTTCATACATAATAACTCTGGAATTGTTTTGGAAGCAGCTTACTTCTTTGGTCTCATCGAATCCAATAAGCTCAACTTCATATATTAGATCAGCCTTGGGTGGAACATTTGGGAAAGAAAAGCTTCCTTCTTCTCCATAGCCTAATTGCCATCCTACATGTAGCAGCGCCCGCTCACCAGACCTCATGCTGGACACACTGATAGCCAAGCCCGTCATTTCTTTCTTCTCTGTCGTAGAAACAAAAAAGTTAACATTCACAACAAGGGTACATTTCAGAGTTATAGATGAGCAAAATCCAGAATCAGTATAGAACTCTTGCAACCATAAGGGTAAAAGGATGAAAAACTAACTGCAGATTGTACAGGAAACAAGTCGGGATTCGCACTAAAACTTGTATATATTGGAACTGGACAATAATCAGCCGAGCAGTACCTTTTCCTAAAACTATTTCAATTGGTTGTTGTTCCTGCCAAGTATCCTCAAACTTATGTCCTGTGCTCTCGGTCCATGCCCTGTAGTGAACTACATTTATAAAGCCAATCAGATAACCAAAAAACACAATAGGCGAAAGACAAATCGAGCTAGATGTCCAAACTTCTAGATTTCAATCTAAAAGCAATATCCAATCATTGCCTGACAACCCTTTCAACCACAACAAGAATATTGTGATATCAAAGTCTAGGCAATACTTAGTGACGCTGCAAAATCATAGCAATACAATTACTTTGAAGATTAGTACTGTCAACTGGGATCTCGCTACGAAGATTTTCCTTTGGGATCATAAACCAACTTGGGGGATTCCACAAATGACTAACACATGCTGAACCATGACTTTAGAACCCAGACTCATCTAAGCAAATCTTTATTTAACTTGCAACATGAAATTGGATAAAGGCCTATAACACAGTTGCCATGTAATCTACACCAAAAAGTACCCTGTTGGAACAAAACAGAAACGTAGACCAAAACAATTCATCATAGCCCAGGGCGAGTATAAAACAGTAGGCCTGACAAATCTCCACTTCAAAAGTTAACCAACCAAAAAAGAAAAAAAAAAGAAAAAAAAATCAATACATCTTCAAGGTGACATGTCGCAAAATAGTAGGCCTGACATTATCTCCGGTACTTACAGAAGCATGTTGAATATTTGGATGGTTTGGGGCCATGACCTTCCTTAACAACTTGCTTTGTGACTTTCTCTTGTAGAATTTCCACCTCTGAATCGACCTTCGGGGGTCCATTAGCGTCTTGAAGAGGTTCCCCATGAACAAAAGCAGCATCTTCAGTGACTATTTCACTCTCATCATCTTGAACTGTAATTAACAATGGGTATTATAGTTCTTTAAAGGTCTCTTTCAAAAGTCAACGCAAGTTTCATTAGTCTCATACTCCCATAAGAGTTCAAAAACATGAGAATCAATTTCAAGTGTAAAACTTGTACTCACGTATAAAAAAGGTTTATTATAAGGTTCTAACAAATCTGAACTTTGTTTTGCCTTTAAGTTCACATTGGACCGATGCCAAGACGAAATCATACCTATTTCATCAACTAGAATCTGATTTATAGACCCATAAGAGTCCAAAAATCACATCAATAATGTGAAATAAGACGTGATTATGAGCCTCAGACACGAGAATCATATTTATATGAAAACACATCAATCATTTAATTTTTTTAAAAAAAAGAACAAATAGATCATCAGAAATAAAACACGATTATCAACCTCGGATGTCATGCAATGTCATAATTAAATTCATCAACCAGAAGCTGATTTATAGACACATCCGAGTTCAAAAACAAAATCAATCATGAGCAACAAAATGTGATTATCAACCTCGGATGCAAATTTTATACCTACATCATCAACTAGAATCTGATTTATAGACCATAAGAGTGGGAAAACAGATCAATCATGACAAGTAAAATGTGATAAACTCCATAACTTATAATCTAATTCTCTTTCCATGTTAGGCAATACATGAAAACAATAAAAAAATCAATATCAGGCTAAATGTTCTTACCAGACATTTATTTTTCTATCCAATTCACATTCAAAATATATTTACAAAATGAAATCTTTATTTCTTTAAATCTAAAAAGGGAAGGTCAAAGAATGAGACATTACCAAGCGATTGACTTTGATGCTCCTGAACATCCTCCATTGATAATAAAATCTCTTATCCCCAAAAAATGGGATTCTTCAGAGACCCAATTGAAAGATAATTTACTGGAGAAATCTGATTCAACTACATGTCAATTCAATTCAAATACGAAAGCTGAAACTCTTGAATCTTTAGACCGGGAAAAAAACAGAACAAAACTAACACAAAATTACTGAATTCAGCTAAATTAGCACTTCTTAGAAAACGAAAATGCAGTAAAAGGAAACTATGCCATAAAAAAATGGAACTTTCTTCTTCCGTGTTTTGTTTTCTCCTCTTTTCCTGCAAATTTTCTCAGAGACCAAACGGAAAATAGCGGAAGAAGGAGAAAGTGGAAAGTGTTTGGAAGTGAACTTACGTTGGATTTAAGGTGCGATGCGAGGTGATTCGAGAGGTCGTCTCGGAATGGGGGTCAAACACTGAACAATGTTCGGAGTTTCAGTGATCGAAGAAGATTCCAGAAAGAAATTAAAATTAAAGAGAAAGGAAGACTTATTAATATTCAAGTAAAAAAACAAAAAAAAAGACATTAATATATATTTAACTAATTTATGTGAGAGATTTTTACTGTACTAAAAAAGTTAGATGTAATTATTTATGAGAGTTTTTCACTGTAATAAAATTTAAATTCTAAACTTAAATCGGTGAAATAAATAGAGTCTTAATTTTTTTTTCTCTTTTTTCTTTTAATCCAGGAGAAACAAGGCCTCGTTCATTTCACCGATTCGAATTTTTAGTTTTAGATTTCTACAGTAAAAAGCTCTCAGAAAATGTCACATCTAACTTTTTCTGTTATAGTGAAAAGCTATTTAAAAATGTCACATCTTAGCTCGAATTGAAAACTCGAATCCGCGAAGTGAACGAAGCCTGAATTAAGTTGGTCTTTTTTAAAAATATATATAAACAAATTAAATATATATATATATATATATTTGTATGCGAAGATCACGAGGTGGATTGGTGGACAAATTTTGAAGGAAAACAAAATTAAGCCAAAAAAAATACTAGATTAGATTAGCAAAAAAGAAAAAAAAATACTAGATTAAGGAACATTAGAAAAAAAATAATTATTTCGATTTCCAGTTTAATCTATCCAAAGAAAAGGTCAAGCAAAAAACAAAAAGAAAGAAATAATACTGACACGAATAATAATAATATGAAAAACATACTATATTAATGTGTTTTTCATGTCGATTTATGGATTCGGATATGTCGTTTCCTATTCAAACGGACATGCAAGAAAGGGCGGAGGGAGGTGGGCCCTGGGGACATATATGCCCCCTGGATTTTTAAGAGATTTTTTTTAGGCTCCTAAAGTTTTATTTTTTGTTTTACTTTAAATGCACATAGTTTTTCAATTTTTTCATATTTGTCCCCCTCTTAATAAACCAAAGTTTAAATACTTATAGTGTTTATCATATCAAAGTGATCTCAAATAAGAAAACTTCTATCAAATGACCTATTAATATAATTATCCTCAAATGTATCTCTATCCACACAACTCTCCTCAATTGTTGTCTCATAAATACTTCTTCTCTAGTTTGTCCTCATTGAAGTAATATTTTATTTTGAATGTGTCTCTATTTAATCATTCTTTTTTATTGTAGCACTCTCAGTTATTAGTTCTTCATACGTACTTTCTAATAATTTTGCCACTAAAATGTTTATTACTCAATATTGTTCTACGCGTATCTATACATGTATAATATTAACTAAAAATATATTATAATTAAAAACGTTCATTTCATCCATTCTCCTAAATTTTTTTATGAACTAAAAAGTTATGAGATTGATGACTTAAAAAAATAGTGAACTCATCACAAAATTTTATATTTAAGCAAGAAATTCAATAAACTAATTATGTATGTGTTTAACATACGTCTCTATTTAGTTAATAGTATTAGGAGTCGATATTTTAAAATTTTTTAATGTTTTTAATGTTTTCAATTTATGCTCCACCTAAATTAAAATCCTGACTCCGTCACTGCATGCAAGTGGTGACCACATGTTATTTAATATTGAGAGAAAAAAAATGAGGTAATTTCCTATTAGAAAGAGATAGAAACGCCGTTTCTTGTATGCATGGACGACGAGTCGTTCATTGTAAGGGATGGAAGTGGACGCGTCGATTGCTAGATGTCGTTTTCTCTAGGACGTGGGAACGACAAAGACATGATGGCGTTTATGTGATACAGTAGCCGTTTGTCAAAAAACAACATTGTTTGACTTAAAAAAAATTGATGTCGTTTGCTAATATAACGTGATAAAATGCCATTTCCTATGTGAAAAAACTGCGTGTCGTTTCTATCTGGGGCATGACAAACGACACGTCATATCTCTAGAAAGAAAGGATAAGTCGTCGTCTTGTCACTTCTGTAACCAATATGTCTTTTAATAGCTTATAGTCGTTCTCATTTTGGATAAAGATGACTCGTCGTTTATTTTGGAATGTTGTTTCCCTCCATGATAAGATGCTCATTTAATCGAGAAACCAAACCACGTGTCGTTTGATCCTAAGTAGAAGACACATCGTTTAGATATTTACAAAACATGCCGTTTTCATCCTAAGTGTAATCTAAATGACGTTTAGGATCATAAAAGACACGTCGTTTCTGTGTCTAGGATGAGTAATGACATGCCCTTGCCATATGAGTTGGACGAATGAAGATGGCAATTATTTTTCCCATTATTAGTAGCACATTTTTCTCTTACCATGTGTCGTTTTATATATTTTGACAGAAGTAAAATTAAAAATGATAAATAGCAACTTAACAACCAATCTTTAAGTGTTTTCATGTCCCAAAGTGCATAAAAAACCTGCTCTCTCTCTCTCTCTTATTTTTTTTTTTAACTGCTCTTCCTTTTGTCCTTTTTATGCTTATTTATGTTTACTAGTCACGGTCATTCCATTGAACTTGAAGAATATAAGTTAATATTGGCATAGAAAAGAAGAAAAACCTAATACAAAACTTAAAAGACCTTTGAGGAAATCTCTGCAATTTGGAAAGTACAATCAACGCAGCATGCTGCGTTTACCACTCTTCAGCAATAGATTAGAACAAGATGTTCATGCAAATCATGTAAACAGAAATAAACTAAAAAATAGAGTACAATATATTGATTTTCCCATAGTAAAACAACATATTCAACTTACACAATTCTTTTTTACCACCAGCTGTAAGGAAGAATCTAATTTACCTTTAGCAACCAAATCGACAAATAACTCATAAGTTGAATTGTCTCCAGAAAAACCCTTTGCCACCATTTCATCCTTAAACTGCAACGCTCTAGATATCTCATCATTACGAACAAGTCCCCGGATCATTAAATTATAAGTGCATTCGTCTGAAGGGCATCCTTTTTCTTCCATTCCCTTGTGCAAATTAAGAGCTTCACCTACGAGACCTCCTCTAAGAAGTCCATCGATCATTATGGTATAAGTCTTCACATTATATTGTAAGCCTTTAGATGGTAACTTGGAAAAGAGATCCTTTGCAGCTGCAAGATTTCCAGCTTTGAGCATGCCTCCAACAAGGGTAGAGTAGACCGCGATATTGAGAGGTAACTTCTTCTCTTCCATATCTTTAACCAAAATTACTGCTTCTTCAAGCTCTCCAATTTTACACAAGCCATCAAGTAAAATACAATATGTCTGAATATCTGGTGGCTGCCCAACAGCTTGCATCTCGTGAATTAGATCACGAGCGTGCCGAGTTCTCCCTAATTTACACAGACCATCAATTAGAGAGCTATAAGTAACAACATTTGCAACTAATCCCTTAGATGTCATTTCTTCAAACAGCCAAAGAGCCTCATCTATCATCCTCTTCTTACAATATCCGTTTATCAAAATGCTATAACTAAATACATCACTTTCAAAACCATTTTCGATCATCGTATCAAACACTTTTCTAGCATCATCCATTTCTCCTCGCAAACAATAGCCGTCCATAAGTGAATTATAACGTCACAACATTTGGCTTGATGCCTCTTTCAATCATACTTTCCAACACATCTTGTGCCTCGGCAACCCTCCCTTCTTTGCAAAAAGCATCGACCAAGATACTATAAGTTCGTACGTTAGGACAGATATTTCGGTCGATCATTCCATTAAACAACCTCATAGCTTCTTTCAATTCACCTATCATGCACACCCCATGAATCAAGCTTGTATAAGTAACAACGTCCGGAACAATGTCTTTTCTTCTCATTACGTTGAAGAGGTCGAGAGCATTTGCAACCAGGCCTTCCTTGCAAAGGCCGTCAATAACAGTGCTATAGGAAACAATGTTTGGCTTGCAGTTCTCTTCCTTTTCCATTTTTTTAAGCAAGAGAATAGCCGCAACACTGTTTCCCATTTTACAATTCCCATCAAGCAATATGGAATAAGTAATCACATTTGGCTCACAGCCTCCTTTCTTCAATTTGTTAAAGCACTCTTCTGCTTCAGCAATCTTTCCCTCAACGAAAAACCCCTTCATTAGAGTATTCATGGTCACAACATTTGGTTCGAAACCAAATTTAATGAGTTTTCCAAGGACACATAATCCAGAGCGCATTTGGTGCAAATGACAGAAACAATTCATCACAATGTTTAGAGTGCAATCCGTAGGCATTTCCTTGCATACCCATTTGCTGATACAAAGAAATAACAAGAGAATAATGTTTGGTCTTGACGAGTTTACCCAACAATTGATTGAAAGCCGCAACGGAAGGAAGAGGATGACATCGGAGCATCCTCTGAAAGGAATCCAAAGCGGCTTCAACATTAATATTCACGAAGTGGGTTTTGTTTGTTTTGGTTGTATGGCCATCTTTTGGAGAGGATTTGGAACGAATGTGATTGTGAGCTATAAAATTGTTATTGAACAAAGCAAAAGAAGAAGCAGAACAAATAAACGACATACCTCCAACTCCATGGCCATTCAAAAAAGCAAAGTTGGATTTAGAACCACTTGTATGAATCTTCAACATCTTTTCGACAAATAGTAAACGGTTTTTTTTTTTTTTTTTTGATGAGCAGAAGATAGAAATGATATAAAGAAAGAAACGACAACTGGTAAAAGAAGAAAAGCAAAAGCACTATATCGTAGCGAACTATATTTAATCAAATAATACAATAATTATACACCATCTTTGCCATCAAATGTTGAGATGGCCGAGTTGGTCTAAGGCGCCAGATTAAGGTTCTGGTCCGAAAGGGCGTGGGTTCAAATCCCACTCTCAACACATAATGATGTTTTTTTTCTTTTTAGTTTTTTCATATATCGTCTTCTCATATTTCAAGACAAATTTTTTATTATCAAAGGAGTTATTGGTGATTTTCCATTTGTCATTCTCTCTTTAAAACTCAGAATGCAAATTGCGCCTCATCTTCACATGGTTCAATATATATATATATATATATATAAATATATATTTCAATAAAAAAAAAAAAAAAGTGAGATGGCTAATTGTCCGACCAACACTCCTAAGTTTTCTCCTAAAAGAATGCAATCAATGGCAGCCATTAAATCAGTCTCTGGACAAAACTGAGGGTGAAGAAGAATTGGTCTCATGGCATTTGCCCACTTCCAAAACACAAATTGAAAAAAAAAAATAAGAAAGAAAGAAAAAAGAAATAAAGTTTCAGAAAAAGAGATATCTTTGAGAAAGTCATGAATGTGTAAGAAGAAGAAGAAGAAAAAAAAAAGAGAGAGACAATGGCTAGTACTAATATGAGCGTCAATGATTTTGGGAGTTTGTCGTTTGGAGATAGCCAATGTAGGGGAAGGTTGACTGAGATCTTCACAAAAGTGGCCATTAATCTTTTGGGTTTCTTCTTAATAGCCGGTTTCTGCAATGCTCTCCACTATATCTTGAGGCCATTTTCACAACCTCGTATCACCTCGGATATCTTTGTATGCCATCTCTGACTATACTCTTGGAACAAATGAATGCTACCTAAACAATCTATAAAAATGACATAAATTGGGTGAGATCTTATACGTAGTTGTGTCCAAATGTGATCATGAATCTACGTGGCTCTTACATTTTATGCGAGTCATGATGCGGAGCACAATTAATGTCTGAAAGCATAACTCTTTTGTTTCTGTATTTGTGATTTTCTTAGAGGTTAAGAATAGAATAGGAAGAATGTAAAATAGTGTTTGAATTGATAATTTGGTTGAAATTATGTTAGAAAATAAAACCGAATATATATAATTATGTTAATATATATATATATATATATATATATTTGCCTAAGCTATTTGGATTCGTATTTGAAATTGTTCTTCATAGAAGGAATAATGATCAGAATACACAATTAAAACAAATTGCTCTTTCTTTAGGCAGCAAGGCATATAAAAATAGTTAAGATACAGCTCTAATTAGATTGAATACGTTCTTCTGCTAGGCAGGTTATGAATCTCATTCTAGCCAACCTCGAACAATAGCATACAAATATTTTTGAATATTGAATACAGAGAAAATTAGAACTGAATTTTTATAGCATTAAACAACTGGAATATCAACACTAGTCACTCTCAATAAGCACTCTGCCACCAAATTGTGAGAAAGACACAGATTTATACTAACCTTATCTTTTTTGTTTTTTTTTTTTCGTTTTTTTATTTTTTTTTATTTTGGTGGCGTGTAGGTGGGATTGATTATTGGAAACTTGGGGTTCGTACACAGGGCAGTGAACAAGTCAACAGCAAAGACCTTGAGATTCATAGTGGATTTTGGAATGATATGCTACATGTTTGTTTTGGGCATAGAAATGGATCCATACACAATTTTTAAGATACCATCTAAGGATGCAAAAGTGGCCTATGCAGGAATGGTTTCCACATTCATCCTAGCATGTGCCATAACACCATTTATGCACTACACGGACCGATTTGGGATGGACTTCACCCTCTCCCTCTCCACCATGCTTGCTAGCACCGCCTCTCCGGTGCTCACCCGCCTCATAACCAGCCTCAAGATAGGCAAGTCCGACATAGGTCGCCTTGTCATTGCCGCCGGAATGCACTCCGATTTCATCTCAACTCTTGTCATCTCCCTCGGCTACATCATCTACCCATTCACGAGTAAGGACGAGGAGGAGGGTAAGCACGTTTCCCCGGACGCCTTTTCACGGTTCCGAGCCACTATTCTAATGGGTTGTGCCTTGCTATTCCAAGCAGTGGTTGCAGCCACCTTGTCACCAATTTTCATTAACTGGGTCAACAATGAGAACCCGGAAGGGAAACCAATGAAAGGGTCCCACCTAGTGCTCTCTGTGGCTTTCATGATCTTGATATGTTGTTGCTCTCCAGTGTATGGATATAACCCCATTCTAAGTGCATTCATGGCAGGAATTTTCTTGCCAAGAGAAGGGAGAGTGTCAAGATGGGTGGTTAGCAAGATTAACTACTTGTTGAGTACTATTTTCTACCCAATATTCTTCTTTTGGATGGGTTATGAGGCTAATTTGGGGGAGTTTGAGCTAGGAAGTCTCATGACATGGGCAAGGTTATTTGTGCTCTTTGGTATAGCGACCATTGGGAAAGTTTCAGGCACAGTAATCTCTGGGGCAATGTTGGGATTTAACTGGCCTGAATCTGTTGCTCTTGGCTTGCTTCTCACCGCCAAAGGCCATTTTCACATCTACTTGGCTATTGCTACAAACACGGTTAGTATACCTTCGTTTGTTTCATAACTTTGTACTGATCCGTCTGGTTTTAACATTTTTTTACTACAATAAAAAAATTCGATTTCTTCATACTTTGTATTTTTTGGTTGAGTGCCAACTTATTTGGATGTGATTGAAAATCATCAAATTTTTTTATCCAAAAACAAGAAAGATAGGCAATCCTAATTCAACGAAGAATGCCAAATCAAATATATCAATGATAACAAATATAAAACAACCTAATTACAAACAGTTTTAAATTCCCACAAGTAGTGAGTGCTTTAATTTTTATTGACAAAATGCAGGCCGGAAAAACATCTACTTCAACCAGCACAGTGATGATAATAGGGATCTTTTTCACCGTGGTCTACGTGCCGTCAATTGTGGCGCAAATCATCAAACGGGCAAGGAAACGCGCGCCTACTCACCGGATGGCGCTTCAATTACTTGACCCTGCCAACGAACTCCGCATACTGCTATGCCTTCATGGGCCTCAGAATGTGCCTAGCACCATAAACTTCATGGAGATATCTAGAGGGATAGCTAATCCCGGGATAGTGGTGTATGTCACGGACATGATTGAGCTCACCAACGAAATAGCAGCCACGTTAGTGAAAGGCGACGGACCAGACACGGTGACTGTGACAGATAAGGCAGTGGTGGAGATGAGAAATCAAGTCACTGCGGCGGTTGAGGCCTATGTGGATCAGGATAGCGATGGCATCATGCTTAGGCGAATGCTAGCGCTCTCTACGTTTAGTGGATTGCCCCAAGATGTGTGCATTTTGGCTGAGGACTTGATGGTGGCCCTCATCATATTGCCATTCCATAAGAGCCTACACGCAGATGGGACATTAGATGGAGGCCATTCCGGTTTTCGGTATGTCAACCGTAAGGTAACGATGCATTTTCATGGAACTTTAATAAATTGACCAATGTCACACTTAAAGAATGACTAATATTACCATAAACAATCCCTTTCTCCTTGATGGTGGCTATGTCTTAAATAGGTGCTGAGGAATGCCCCTTGCTCAGTAGGAATACTCGTCGACCGAGGTTTCAGATTGCTTGGGAAAACATCAACATCCTATGCATCTCTCAATGTGGCAGTCATCTTCATTGGTGGCAAGGATGATAGGGAAGCCCTAGCCTACGCGGGGCGTGTGGCACGACACCCCGGAGTAAGGCTCACAGTGATAAGGTTCTTGGTGGACACCAACTCAGACAATGCCTCAAGAAGGGCTGCGGGTAATTACAGGATCAACATTTCTGAGCAGGAAGAGGAGACCAACCTTGATGATGAATGCTTTGCCGGTTTCTACGAAAGACACGTTGGAGGCGGCCATGTCTCCTATTTGGAGAAGCATCTTGCAAATTCAGCTGAGACATACTCAACATTGAGGTCATTTGAAGGGCAGTACTCCCTTGTTATAGTGGGAAGAAGTGGTAGAGTCAACTCTGTGTTGACTTTTGGTATGAGTGATTGGCAGCAATGCCCCGAGTTAGGCCCCATCGGCGACGTCCTCTCAGGGTCGGAGTTCTCTGCCACAACATCAGTTCTGATCATCCAACAACACAATCTAAGGGGAGAACTAGATGGTCTTGATGATGATTTCTCAATCATGTAAAGTTTTATTTTTATTTTTTGTTTCTTGAAACTAGACAATGTAGTTTAGAAAGAGCTATAGGCATACTAGTTGTACCAAAGAAATTGATGATTTTGTACAATCATAGTTTGGTAGAATTATAGAAATTATGAAATTTATCAACATTGTTAAGACAACTTAATTTAGTGTACAAACGAGTCTAGAAGATTAAAGAGGCAAAATAGCATAAACTCAATAGTACTAATAAACAGAAATCAAACTTCTATAGTAATCTTTTTTTGATCATTTAGTCACAAATTAGTTTCAAAATTCTCTGAAATTAAACTCCCGTTAAAAATTGGTGTTAATTCCGTCCCTGTCAAAACCTGAGACTACATTGCCAAGAAAAAAAAAGGAAAAAAAAAAGAAAGAAAGAATGAAAGTGGCAAAGCATGAAAAGTTTTTGGAACAACAGTATTGATAACCTTTAATTTAAACATAGTTATATTATTTGTTTCAATTGTAATATCGGATCTGTGGTTATACCGTAATAATAATAATATATATATATATAAATATATATATATATATTTTTTTTTTTTTTTAAATGAGGAACTATCCATTCTACGTCCCCGTGGCTAATACTCAGAATCATACATATATGGAAAGTATTATTCATGCAATCTACGACTAAATTTTTACAAGAATGTAATGCTTAGCGGTTTTGATATATGCGAGTTAGTTTATATTAGGATATCCAACTCTTTTTTATAAATGTTATCTATTAATCCACGTAATAACTAATAAATAACTAATTAAAATACATCCACAAATATATAATTGGGTAAGTTACCTAGACCATAAAATTGAGAAATCTCCTACTATTAAAAAAAAATAAAATCAATAAAAATAGAATAATAAAATCAACAACAAAAAAAGGGGAAATAACCTACAAGCTACAGGAATGAAATGGGACGTAGCCCTTTAAATATATGCGAGTTTATATATATATATATATATATATATAATCCAAGTAAAAAA